TGTGTGTGTGTGTGTGTGTGTGTGTGTGTGTGTGTGTGTGTGTGTGTAAGCTGTGTGAAAGACAGAAGGCAAATTCCTTTCACAGCATGCATTTCTGGTTGAAAGTTGGGTCTTCAGGCTTGGCATAAAGTACCTTATACACGAGCCATCTCACATGTTAGTAGGTACTCATTAGCAACACCTTATAAACATGTGAAAATAGTTTAAGTTCAATACATTTAGACTCACCTTCAATCTTGAACACCTCATTAGTTGCACTGCTATATTTGGTCACTGACAAAATCTCAAATATTCCCTTCATACGATATTCACACAGCATATTCTATTTCTGTTTTAATTTTCTTTACTTATTGTCATGTTCCTTAAGTTTTTTTTTTTTAAACTCAAACTTCACCATTTCCCCACACTCCACATCTGGATGCAGTTTATACTCACTGTCCTATACCATTTGTCATGGATCAGAGCCCTGTATTATGTACATCTCTCTCCTTCTGTCCACTATTGACCAACTTGGATATTACTCTACTTTGTCAGTAACTTGTCACATCCAAACTCTGAAATTTATTCTTTCTTCCACCTGGGATGTGATTCCTTCCATTTCTTCTTTAGCAAGTCTCTGCTCTACTGATACCTTCTTAAAACGTTTGCCCTCTCGTCATTTGTTTTTACTTTTGTTTCAAGGCAATGTGCCTCTACATATTCTAGGCTGACCTGGGGACTGAATAAACCCCTGTGGCTCTGCTCCCCAAGTATTGGTACTGAAAACAATCACTTCTGCCATTTGACTCTTGCAAAATAAAATACATACCATATCCATGCTTTTCTATGGTTTTATTTATTTCTATAGCATTTATCATCAAATTACATAATTTTTGGCTTGGGTTGACAAATCATTCTTTAATATTACAAATTCTATGATAAATCAAACTCCTATTCGTCTGTGTTCTGACATACCCTATTACTACAGAAAATATATGGACTATAACAGTTATTCAATGAATATTCTTTGATGAATGAATATGAGCTTTCTTTCATTAATGAATGGATGGATAATTTCTCTAACTCTTCTTCCAGCTCTATTTCTCCACAAATTAACACACTAACACAAAAACTTGACTACCTCTGAAAATTGTTCTGTAACCCATAATAAGAAGTAATAGACGGGACTAGAGGGATTTCTCGGCGCTTTGTGCTTGCTGCTCTTGCAAGAGTCGGAGGTTCAGTTTTTAGCACCCATAGCTGGAAACTTTCTGTAACTCCAGTTCCTAGAATCCAATGCCCTCTTCTTAACTCCCAGGGTACCTTTGCCGCACATGAACTCAGAGACGCATATATGCACATAAAATAAGGTCAATACATCTCTATTTTACAAAACAAGCAGACATTTGATGAATGAATGTTTCCTCAGAGGATGAAGACCGACTTTTAAAATCCGTACAAATAGAACATTTGTCATAGTTTCACCAGACATCAGATTTTGTTTACAAAGGTGTTTTCTTTTGTTTTCTAAACTTCTCACTTTTACTATTTGCCCTGAATATAAACTCTCCCAGACAATTTCAAACACTTTCTCTCAAATCTCACAGCATTGGCAAGAGCTGTCATCTCTAACTGTTCTTAGAGTGTTTTAATTTCCCCTTCTGTCCTTCCTTGACAAGATGGAGTTGCTTTTGCTAGCCTGTTTCCATAGAGTTGGAGACCTGAGGGTCACATGCTTATATTTTCAAAATGTCTTCAGGTCTTATATTATACACGGAGATGTCACCGCTGGGAACGTGTAAACATTTCATTTATATAACTGCATTGTAGAAAGGATTAAGGTGAAGGTTTCATTGTTGCCTCCTTTAGAGACTGCATTATCTTGTTTGCATTAAGTCTCTTTTCTGTTCAGGGAAAACTTTCTCAGCCAGGCATCTTGACTTGTATATTATGTTGACCTCTGTGTTTGAGATTTTTGCTCCTTGAAACAAAACATAGAAATTTCTGTTTTTCTGCAGCTTTCTTTCTGTAGGCAGTTTTCAAACACTTGTTTTAAAATGTTCACAATGTCAAAAGAGTGGAAATACTGTGCTGCACACACACAGAAAGCCATGTGACAAAAATCTTTAAAACCATTTTTAACAATATGTTGATAACACCCTCTCAAGAACAAATGTTTTCTGTGATTCTCAAAGAAAGAAAAATGTGAACTCTGACACTAAATAAGCAATATTGTTTTTAATGACTCCCTTACATTTCCTAGAGTTCTGCTATTGTTGATTTAAGAAATGAAAAAAAAATTAACCTCAGGCCTTTGTTCAGATAAGATATAAATTCCATTATTTTGATCAATCGCTTATCAAAAGGTATACTTAAGAGTCTAACAAAATTTCTCCATTTTATTCTGAGGTATCTCCTATATCCTAAGATAAAAATAAACTGAGTCAGATTTAGTAAAATGACCTTAAGATTATATTGTGTAATTTCTCTAAAATTTATAGAAACAGCCTAGATAACAATATGACGTTTGTTAATTAATGTGTCATTCATTTATTTTTACAGCGTTTTTACAAGCTTCATTTCATGGGTGCTTTTTCTGTGGATACTGGGAATACTAATCCTTTAGTATTTCACTAATCTTTTGCTGTGAATACTAATCATTTAACAGATGTTAATTACCAAAACCTTTTTTGCACTTTGCAAAAATGCATGACCATGCTTTGTAACATTTGAGAAAGATAACCACAAACTTGTTTTCTAGTTTTAGACTTTGAAAACCCCCGACTTTCTAATTCATCATCATATTAGGTAATTTTGATGATGAAAACATTCCACTCAAATACTTACTTTGGTATTTAAAACTAGAATCTTTAAATTAAAACATTTTAATGAATGTAAAAATAGCAGATTCTGCCAATGTGCCTCTCTGTTCTTAATTAAGTTTAAAGCGTGATACTGAAACATTAAGTAGAGTAGAAGTATATAGCAGCAACTTACCAAGATTCGAAGCATATTCTCCAATGAACCTCTTGGTAAGAAACCTTACAGTAACTGCTGTTAAATGAATAGACAAAATTTAGGCTTGTTTAATTTTATAATACTGATATTCAGTTAGGTCCATCAACTTGATTTTCACTCAGTAACCAGCAAGCCTTAGATAAGAGCTTAAGACTTTACTGAATTCTGGCCTAAAAGCTGTGGATAACCATGATTATGTAAATAGAAATATGTGATCTTACATGTTATATGGGTAAATTGTTACAAAATTCGTCAAACATGTACACTACCTTACCTTCTAAAGTCCAAATATAAACCTCATTACATTTGAAATCCAAAGCTCTTACAACCCTTATTTTTCCTATTAATTAAATCTTGTTCAAGGCTCTATGTGTAGGAAGGATGGAGGCAGTGTCCAGCATGTGCAGTTTGTAAGGGATATAGAGAGTTAGTGCCCTGGAAACAGTTTAAGACTCAAACAGATTATTGTCTTTCTAAAGCACCCAAGTCTGCTATTACTCAGCTCTTGTTGTTAGACTGTTATTCATTGGTAGAAATCTTACTGCCAGGATATTGTGCAGCAGAATCAAATAACGCAAGCAGAAGAGAATAGCACATTCCAGAATTAGGGCCTTTTGTGCCAGGTTCCAGGGTGTCCACACAGCCGTGTCACCAGACAGTTATGGCCCTTCTGTAGTGCTGCCAATAAAAAAACACACTCCACACTCCATTCAACTCTGCCCACCTTACCCTCACATCTGAACAATTAACTACTGGTGGGTTTGTAGGCAAGAGTACTGGAGTAAGAAACAGGAAAGTGATAAAACGGCCTCTTGTTGGTCTTTAGAATTTTAAACATCGATAGAAAAAGATAGAGACTCATATTTTAAGCAACTGCATTGGCTCACCTCCTGAAACAGCTCATAATTAAACAGTAACTTGCCTGAAAGATTGCAAAATCATACACAAAAAATTTATACAAATTATTTCACGGAGGGAATTTATTATAACTTCTTGTATACTATATGGCTATTGTTTAACGCCCTAGTTTGTCTCTCTCATCATGCCAGACAAGACAGTAAAACTCACCTGATTTCCCTGTGCCTTTACCACCCAAGACAGTAAGCTTGACATCACTCATCTTGAGTAACTGGTTCAGTTTTGGAACCCTGCTGACTAGAGCTAAGCATATTCTGTTGATTTTGTGTGTGTGTGAATTTTCCATTTATGGATGTCCTTGTTTTTCCAGGGGCAACTTCACCATATATTTCTACAATCTAATAATAACTTGAAAAATGTTTGCCTTAGTACATTTCAACTGATCCTCTCAAATATTGGACTAATATTTGGACACTGAGATTTATGAAACTAGCAGTAATATATTTTTAACAGAAGTCTAGTTCATAATCCTCTAGAGAATCAAGAAAAATGTCCTATTTTTATTTAGAAAAATTCTAGAGAGTTTGTGTAAGTACCCATTTAAATTTACTCTGATGGGGTAAATTTTACTTTTTATTTAATTATTTAAGAAGATTTCATATAAGTATCCATGATGTTGTGGTCAAAGTCTCCCCCAGTCCCTCCCCTCCAAACCTTCCCAGCTTACCCCCACCAGAACTCCTTTCTTGGTTCATGTACTTTAAAAATTTTAAATTAGTCTGATTTGTACTGTCTGTAAGTTCATGGGTATACAGCTATCAGTTGGAGTGTAGACAACCTTCCCCAGCAATCAATAGTGACCAAAAGCTCCTTAACTAGAGGTATGGTTCCATAATCCCCTCCCTCAACCATGATATGATTTTGAATGGCTTAATTTTGTGTAGTAAGATCTTGTATATTTAGTCAAAATTGCTATGAGGTTATGTGTGCAAAGAGTCCATCATGTCTAGAAAATGACTTCTCATGTTTTTCAACCTCTAGCTCTTATACTATTTATAATATTTATACTCTTTCTTCTATGATGGTGCCTGAGTCGTGAGAGGAGGCATGTGCTGTAGTTGTCCCCATTAAGGGATGAGCCCTTCATAGTCTCTTAGTCTCCTCTGATTGAACAACAGTGGGTATCTTTATTAAAGCATCATCTATTGGGAAATGAAGCCAAGAAAGGAAATCTAAGATAGATGAGTGCAGCTTAATGCCAGTGACAATGAATTCTAGGTCATATATTTTAATCACATGTGATCCATGAGCTGAAAACCACTTATACCACCTTGCAACTTTCTGAAGCCACCTTTTTTTTTATTTTAAAGATATGAATTGCCAATGGATAGCAAATCTACTTATCATTGGAAAAGTAATAAAGAGAATCTGTCCTATTTCTTTCCACACTTCTTTAGAAATAGGAAAATACTTCAAAAGCAAAACAACTGGAGGTGGCATTGTGTATAATTCATTGTGGATTCAGTTTGAGGGAAATGTAAGATAACGATGACCATTGCTCCTCCTTTAACATTCCCCCATTGTGAAGTCTAGTCTTCACCATAAATTTGACTGCATTCAGAGTTACCATGGGAACACATTTATTTAAGAATGTTTCCAAAAAGATTTAGCTGAGTAGAGAAACCCCACCATGTATGTGGGGACACCATTCCATGGACAGACATCTGACAATGACTAAAAGGAGGAAAGTGGGCTGAGGGGCAGAATTCATCTCTCTCTTTCTCGCTCCGCTTCCTCACTTAGCATCTGATGTGGTCAGCTCCATCACACTTCTCTGTCAGTGGGGGCTGTGCCCTAAAACTGGGAGACAGAATGAGCCCCTCCCCTTCTTACTTAACTTCGGTCAGGTATTTTGTTACATCAGTAAAGTGCCTGCCTATTACTTTTTTCTTATCTTTCACTGTTAGATATTTTAAAACAATACAAGTTTCATTCCCAAGACCCATAGCCAGTGACTCACAAGCACTTTAACTCCACTTTCAATAAATCTGATGTCCTCTTCTGACCTCTGCAGGCACCTACATACACACACACACACACACACACACACACACACACACACACACACACAGAGGTAGAGAGAAAGAGAGAGAGAGGGATGGAGGGAGGGGGAAAGAAAGGCGGAGGGGAAGGAGGAGGTGGAGGAGGAGGAGGAGGAGGAGGAGGAGGAGAAGAAGAAGAAGAAGGAGAAGAAAATAAATAAAATACAGTATTTTTGAAATAAAATTACCTCTGGATGCTTTTATATATAATATAATATTTATAATTGAAGAGTAATCTTTTTAAAATAAATGGTTATTTGATTTTATAAAACATAACTTTGCAAGCAGCTCACAGATTTGGGAAACTTATGGATACTCAGGAATTTGCATGTTATATGAGAATTTGGTAGAATTTGAGGGTGAGATTTAGATGTAGGCAAGTAAGAACATTTGATCTCTGTGTGTTGCCTTTCTTCTGCTGCAAGGCCCTCACTGCAGTGTTTTAGAACACATATACCACAGGGAACAACCCAGGCTGGAGACAAGAGGCAACTGCTACACAATCACAAATCCCAGAAAAATCTTTTCCAAACAAATGAAAGCCAGAAACTTACCAAACAATTGCAACAATGGCTGCTAAAATATGACTTCTATTAGCACATAATACAGCTATTGTTGGCAAAATATTATTATCTTGCTAATTACGGCCTCACTCACATCTTATTTGACCATCCCCTTGTTGTCTGTTACATCAGCGTCCCCATAAATACTTACTTTCTGTGCATGTGACTATTTTTATCTGAACAAGTAAGTGAAAGAGCTTGTTGCATAATAAAGTTATTTTCCACAGTTTTTGGTCTGAAAAGACTATTGTGGGAGTCTGGATCTATTCATGGTCTTACAGTCTTATGAAGGTCTGCGTTAAATTACATAAATAATTCTGAATACTGGAAAACAACCCACTTTCAAAGCATGTTTGAATTCTGGGCTCTCTCTCTCCTTTTCCTTTCTTTTGCCTCTTCATTTAATTCCCGCTCTTTCTTCCCTTCCGTTCTCTTTCCCTCCATCCCCTTTCTTCCCTTTGACGTGTAGTGGTTCCTCTTTATCAGCAAAAATGTACAGTTCCTTCTCCTCCTCTTGTGTTTCTTCTGTCACTGTCAGAGTCTCCACTTAGTCTGCTAGACATGTTTATTTTATACTTGTAATTTTTAGTCCTAATAGTTTTTATTATATTATCCCTTTAAAACTTAAGTCAAATGCGCTCTGTTTATGTCTAAATTTCTCATTTTGGTTTGTAAAGAAGATTCCCCAAGGCCTCCTTTTCATTTTTCTCTCCTATTAAACTTAAAGCATATTGTTTTTAGTGGTAGAAGCTTGTAATTCCAGATAGTTGGCATGCTAAAGCAAGAGGATCATGGTGAGTTCAAGGCCAAACAGGGCAAGTCAGTGAGATATTATCTTTGGGGAAAAAAAGAGGTGTTGAGAAGTAGCTGAGTAGTGTAGTACTCACTCAGCATGACTGAGACACTAGTGTCAATCTCAAGTACACACTGCAATATTGATAATAAATTTATGATTTATATTTATATATTGCATATGACTATTTTCAGAATGTTTTCTTATCCATTGCTCTTGTAGTGGAATAGAGTATGTACTAGCTTCAGTTTAGAGACACTCTCCTTTGTGATACCCTCTGTAGATTTACAACTAGCTGTATAGAATCCCCATCATAATTGACTTCCCCTTTATAGACTTGTATAAAACTATATTACATTCCAATAAACCATGCTGTATGTGGTTTCACTGTATACCATATATCTTCTAGTTACACAGAACCACACATCCTACAGGAAGAGTCAACAAGCTGAAGATGTTAGTATCATTTCAGAGTAATCTAGAAACCTAGTTGACATGGTTACCAAACTTGACCTGTGAACGTTCTGCTTTCACAATCCTACCTACTTCGTGAACATCTTTTGCAGAAAAGTCTTTCATTTGCATATGTTATTCCAAAGGATCGTTTTATTCAATATATAATGCTGGTAATTAACTCAATTATGTGGGCCTATTTTTCAGTTTTTTGCAAAAGGAAAATAATGAATACATCACCAATTTTCAAAAGATTTCAAAGCATGCCTGAGACTAAATAATTGAATGGCTTTGCTAATTTTTCTCAGCATGTATTCTTATAATTGCTATTATCTTTTCAAGGTAATGATCCGGTATTTATTTTACTTTTAAATTATTCCTGAGATGTTTATTGTCATAGGTCTTAGTTTTCTTCTACCCTTATAAAACTGAAACATGATAGCTAGCAGTAATTATAACCCAGCTGGTCACCCTTTTCGCCTTCTCAAGATAATTTGTGCCAGGTTTTCTGTGAACACTTAGAGGTTTTCTTTGCAGCTAATTTAGTTTTCCTCAAAAGAAAGATAAAACTGTTATTAGTTTTTTATTCACTCATTCATTTATTCATCAGTGCATTCATTCCTTCATTTTTTCCGTGTTACCAAGGACTAAACACAGGGTCTCAGGCATGCTAGCAAGCATGCTACCACCGAGTTCTATCCTAGCCCTGGTATGTTTCTTTTTAATTTTTTTCTATATTTTGAGAATTTCATACATGAAAATAATGAAATGTAATCATATCAAGCATTACGTGCCACCAAACTCCCTCAGACCCCTCCAATATACATCACTCAATAGTTAATGTCTTTTTTTTTTTAAGATCCACTTTAGCTAGTGCTGCCCATGTGGGTAGGTGGTAGATCCATTTACTAGAGCATGGGAACTTACCAGGGGCCACATCTCCAGGGGTGATTCAACCTCCCCCAGCAGCTATCAATTGCCAAAAGTTCCCCGGTAACAGGCAGGGCCTGGGGATCATTTACCAATTGATGCCATGGACTGACTTTGGCTGGTTTGTGTACGTCTTATGCAGGTAACCTCTAATATTGTGAGCTCATGATTACCATAGACAAGTTATGCTCAGAACACAGAATTTCATATAAACCCGTGTGTGTGTGTGTGTGTGTGTGTGTGTGTGTGCGCGCTCGCACAACTTCACTAACAGGAGGCTGAGGAAGCAACACATGAGTAATGCCTCTGAGAAAAAGATTTACAGAAATTCTTCTGAAATGTAGTTTTCAAAGGCTGGTCAATTGCTGGAGAAATGACTTAGCAATTGAGAGCACTGGTTGCTCTTCAGGAATACCTGGGTTTGATTCCTAGCACCCACATGGCAGTTCA